GCATTCTTTTCAAGTGTACATAGCCGAGTAACCTCAGCGCTACATCACACTACGGTATCAAAAACACCTGCCGTTTTGGGTTGAAGCTTATCGTGTCCTTGTTTTAGGGAATTCTATGTGACTTCATACTTTCCACTACGTTACGTATAATCGCACATCTTGTTGTCTTTTTTTTCCAGTTCAAGGATGTCAATCGGGCCTACCAGGTTCTAATGGATCCCGTGAAACGCGGCATCTACGATAAATACGGCAGTGTAGGCCTCTCAATAGCCGAACAGGTTGGAGAGGACAATGTCCAGGCCTACTTTATGTTAACTAGCAAATGGTGCAAGGTTAGTGGCACATCATGCTCCGTTTTTTTTTTAATAATTCAAGTGTAGTAAGGAGGAAGGTGGTACACTATACGCCTGTTTTCCGGGTCAATCGTGTCTACCGAAGCCTGGAAGCGTCGGCGGTAGTCAGATTTGATCATATCTCCAATAACGGAGAAAGAAGTAGACTACATATTTTGGGCAGAGTATAATTGGATCTGCTGGGATTACTCTGAGATACAGGGTTTAGCTGCAAGCCTTGCTGTGTTGTGTCTTTAAGCCGCTTCTTTCCCCAGTCGTCACATTGTTTCCTTAGTAAGATTGTGTTGAAATGCCTGGAGTTAGACCTGAGGTGGGTCTCTAATGCTGCATTTTTAGCAGTTATTTTTAACAAAGGTCTCCCACTCCTTTTGAACTTCGCTTATGTACCTCTTAAAACCGCAGGCGCTCATGACGTTTTGAATGCAAGACGGACACTGTTATGTAGTAGTAGTAGTTGATACAAATCTTTCGGCTCCTTTCAGATCCATTCTGATGAAGTAGCTTCCCGGTACGCGCGGTACTCGCATGTTATGCCGGGTTAAACAGGACAGACTTGATACCAACACTCTTGTTCCCTTTATCATAGCTGACAAAGCATGGGGTGGCAAAATAAAGACCATACGTATGTCTGCCTCAAGGGTTCCGGTAAACGTGAGGATCCCACTTTCTTAAGGAACCGTGATTTAGGGAAGTTAGCAAGTAGTCACCTGCTTTCCGCTCACGAGTCTAGAGGCCTCATATTGTGACTCTTCATTAGCCAACCTGGGTAGAGACTCTAGAAGATAAGTACTGTGTATGTCTGCCCGTAGTGTCGGGATATCATAGCAAGCGC